TGGAGTTTGACTTTAATATATTTGTCTCCTACTTAAAATCCATTTAAAACTCTACTGTGCGATTTCACTACAACACCAACAGTGTTATCACACTTTCAAAGGAAGTGGAAAAATAACAGATCTACTCTCAATTAATAAACTGCATGTTACAGGAAGGGCTCTAAAAAAAAAGAACTGTTAAAACTACTGACAGACTGCATCATTTTAATATCCCCCAACCCCACACCTTCCTTGTACCTGCCAGAAATTCCTTACTGTCAAAATTACAGCGGGGGGTTGCTGTGTGAATACAGAAGCTGTAGAAGTTGCTGCTGTAAAAATGGACCATCTGATACAGTGTTTGGAGAAATAGAGAGATACTATACAAAGTAACATTGTGTATAAACATTGATCAGAGGGGAGATAGAGAGATACAAAGTAACATTGTGTATAAACATTGATCAGAAAGAGATGGAGAGATACAAAGTAACATTGTTTATAAACATTGATCAGAGGAGATAGAGATACAAAGTAACATTGTGTATAAACATTGATCAGAGGGGAGATAGAGAGATACAAAGTAACATTGTTTATAAACATTGATCAGAAGGAGATAGAGAGATACAAAGTAACATTGTTTATAACCATTGATCAGAGAGAGATAGAGATACAAAGTAACATTGTTTATAAACATTGATCAGAGGGAGATAGAGAGATACAAAGTAACATTGTTTATAAACATTGATCAGAGGAGATAGAGATACAAAGTAACATTGTTTATAAACATTGATCAGAGGGAGATAGAGAGATACAAAGTAACATTGTTTATAAAAATGTATTTCTGTTTTAAACTAATTGTATATCTAAATTAACCCATATTAGCTTTCAGTTGACCCTAAGCAGCCCTAATTAACCCCTTCCTCTTCATTATATTTCCCTAGCTATTGATATATAAACTTTGTTTTTGTTGTTATTTATTTTTCATCTGTAAATTCCTTTGAAATGCTTTGTACCAGAATCACAATTTTAGTGTCATTTTAAATGGGACAAATGATATGATGAAATTTTTATAAGTTATCTACAACAACAATGTTCAAATTTAAAAAAAATTTATTTCTTAGTTTTATTTTAGTTTTTTTTTTTATGGCTCGCTTAAAAAAATATTTTTTGCCAAACAATATCACCAAAGGTTATCCTTGTTTGGCCTTAAAAAACATTTATGCATTATATGTATGTTATCTTAAGTAATGATCAAATTATTGCTGAATCAACAGGCCCGTAGAGGAAATATAAGAATCGCTCGGGGTCTATGGGATGGAGCGGGAAGGGAGAGTACAGGGGTGAGGGCTGAACTGGACAACCTATAATAAAAGACTTACAACATACATAATTGTCCTGCCTAGACAGCCATTAACAAGTACCACTGAAACCAGCTATTAGCGTGTTGGAAGTTCATTTCAACCGGAATTTCCTGTTGCTGGCAGTCATCTTGAAATCTTAATGTATATAATTAACATTAGGAAGGTTCTAAAGGCAAAGGTAATAATTATAAAGCCTCAGGGATGAGCACAGATGGCCCATTCTTTCACCAAGAGCCACTACCTAGTTCAGGATTAGGGAAAGCAAAGCGTAGAATAGACCCGGATGGGCATGGCGCAGGCCCTGGTTTCACCAGCAGGTGGCACTGAAAGTACAAACCCTTCACCCAACTCTGCCCAGGACAGCGGAGGACCAGGAACGCCCTCTGTCACTACATGCAGGGTCCCATAAAATGGGACTTCTGTATAATACTCACCTCTTATGCTATGAATGGGGGCTTAGTGACCCCCCCATGTGCCTTCTTGCACGCGGGTGTTGAAGGAACTCGGCAGGTAGGTTGTACTGGGTACATCTTGGAGAACTAAGCTGAGATCTTCTGTGGATGTCGGCTGCCTCAAATCCTTCTGTCTCTTCATATAATCCCTAGACTCCATGATGATTAGATCCGGGCTCTGTGGGGGCCCAAACCATTACTTCCAGGACTCCTTGTTCTTCTTAATGACATTGGCTGTATGTTTGGGGTGGTTGTCCTGCTGCAGAATAAATTTGGGGCCAATCACACGCCTCCCTGATGGAATGGTATGATGGATAAGTATCTGCTTGTATTTCTCAGCATTGAGGACACCATTGATCCTGACCAAATCTCCAACTCTATTGGCAGAAATGCGGCCCCAGATTGCATGGAACCTCCACCATGCTTCACTGTTGGTGCAGACACTCATCATTGTACTGGACTGATGAGTCAAAATGTAAAATATTTGGCTGTAGCAGGAGTGAGTTTGTTCGGTGAAGGGCTGGAGAGTGGTACAATAATGAGTGTTAATAACAAACTCAAGAAGGTAGACCTCAGGCTCAT